TGAGTGACTTTGCCTGTTGTTCTGCCTGCAGCCAGCCTCCAAGCTGGGCACCAGGCCCTCTGTCCTTGGCAGGCACCCTCTCTGCTTACTCCCTGAGTGGCACGCTTAGAAGAAGAAATGCTGAAAGCATGCAAATCCAGCTGGATGGCTGTGGGGTGGTTATGTCGCTTCCCTGGGGCAGTAGAGACCAAGAAGCCTAGCTCCCACATCAGCTGTGCTCCAGTCCTGTGGCATGCTGGGTCCTGGCACTGACTTGCAATGGTGGGCTCTGCATGTGTGCTGCCCACCAGAGGCTCAGCTCATCCGCCACCGCCACCACCACAGTCTCATCCTTTACCACACCCACAGAGACCTTTTACTTTCTCAGTCCCTTGATGACACACAGTGAATTCCCTGGCTTCCACTCCCAGCTGATCCTCTTTCCATCACCCCAGAGAGCAGGATGGTCTCCACACCTGCATACTTGCCCCCTCCAGCCAGGGCCCTCTGCAGCCAGTGACCTTTCTAAATGTCAGCATCTCATTGGAGCTATCCAAGAAAGAAAGATGAAACACAGTCCTGCTGCTGAGCCCCTCTTGTGGATGCTGCCGGCCTGAGTCCTGGCCACAGGGTCCACAGGGGCCTACCATGCTGTGCCCCAGAACACCGCAGGGCTTTTGCACAGACAGTTGACTCAGCTGACCCTCCTGTCTTCCCAGGGGAAGCATTCACTCTGTGTCCTGAACTCAACCAGGTATCCTCTCCCAGGCTCCACTCAGTTCCCTCCTCTGGGAGTCCCCACAGGCTGCCCTTGCCTCTTGCAGAGATTTCAAGTTACTGATTTGGGCTGAGTTGGTTAAAGTTGAGCATTGCCTGCTCCCCTCCCCTGCAAGCTGCCTGATGGCACCAACACGTCACCCTCACCCTTCTCTTGGTGGTGGTCTTCCCCATTGCAGGGTCAGTTGCCGGAGTCCAGCTGGCTCACAGACGTAGCACAGGGTGTCTTCACAGCTCCATGGAGAGATGATCTGTTTTTACCACAGACCTCAGGAACCTTAGCATGAGCTTTTTTCTTTCTTTCCTTCGTATGTCGAGAGTTTTCACCTTTTAATGTCAAAGAATCCCTTACAACTTCTCTGGCAAACAAGATGCGGCATCATGCTTGGCTGTGTGCTTCAGGGCTGTCACTCAGGTGAATGAAGTTTATCAGAACACAGGGCCTGTGATCCCAACAGTCTGTCTGATAACTAAGACAGCCATCGTGATCTTCAGAGACAGAAACTACGTTTGAATATTATGATGTTATAATTTTGTGATATTAGTATGAATGCTCTAATCCATATGGTATAGTATAAAGCTATATCATTATTTGTTGTATCAATGAAACTTCATCATAGATAATAGAAAAAAAGTGTATTTAGAATTTCACATTGTCTATGATTTTAGCTACCTGCTGGGTCGCTTGGAACAGGTCCCTGTTGCTAGTTGCTGTCACCATGCTTGACAAATAATGTGGGAACCTCAAATGTTAAGCCAACATGTGTTGAAGAGCCGGGCAGCTTTCCCATGCATCTTCTGGCACTTCCGGGTTCCCCGCCATAAGCATGCAGCACCTGTTTTGAAGGGAAGTGCACAAAGGTGATCTGAGTGGTGGCTGGGTCCCTGCTTTGTCCTCAACACAGCACGCCCTCGTGTCCTCCTCATCCACAGGGAGGGAAGGACGGGCTCCGTACAATAGACACCAAAGACATTTTCTAAATAAAAAGAACTTGTTTAGAAAAATGTCCTCGATTCAGCTTGTCTTTCAAAGAGAAAGTAAAGAGGAGAGAGAGAGAGAAAGCGGCTGTAGTTCAGTTTCTGCCCCGTTGGACAGCTGATGGCAGCTGAGCTCACCCCCCTGGCCAGGAAGGAGTCCTAGGCTGGGCCTGCAGGTAAGGAAGACAGACAAGAAGCAAAAGAATTGCATTCGTTTCAGAATTGGGAAAACTCACTGGAAGCATTTTTCAAAACTACGCAGAAGCTAAAGAGTACTCTACTGTATTTTCTCCAACTCTGAAAACCTCACAAATGCAATTGCGTGATCAAACATGAAAATAAGTGTTGGCAACTGCTTATGTCCTCAGGAGACATTTAATTGAAAAAGGAATGAGTTTGCGTCGTGTGTCTGCCCTTGGATATTTGTGGCATCTGGACAGAGTGGCATGAACACTTGAAAATCCTTTGACATAGCTGGTATTTAAAGAATAGCAATTGGCTAACATGTGTGGCTCTGCATGTTGACTATTTTGGCTCTCATCCTCTGGTATTCATTCTGAAAGATTTATAATCCTTTTGGGAGTGTGGTCAGTGACAAGAGTAGAACTAAATCTTGAAATGTGGAAAAACTAACTTTCCTTAATATAAAACCGTTCTAAAAAAAAAAAAATCCCTCAACCCTGTGAATATGATTCCAGATTTTCAGAAAAAGCTGATGATTTACAGAAAGTTTTCTTCTATAAGGATCTGACTCTTTAATGATGAATGGGAATTGTCAGGCCTTTGATTTCAAAGTTGGCCCAGAGCAGATGATTCAGACAAACTCTTGCCCTTTGCGCATCTGCTGCAATGAAACAGCATTCAGAAATGCAAGCAGAAAGTGTCTTTGGTTATGGTGTAGATAGTGAAACGAAGTTCACAAGACAGAGACAGTCTAAGAGAGAACGACTGGGATGGCATGAAATAGGATGCTGAGATCAGGCTGCGTCTGCACAGCAGAGGATTGCTACCCAAGAGGAGAGCCTTGTGCGGGCAGAGCGGCAAGAAGGTTCCTCACTGTGCAAGCTGCCAGGTAGCTGGGCTGCTGCTGTGCCTGACCGAGGAAACCAAGCTGGGTGGAGGCCCCAGACGCGTGTGAGGCACCACCCGTTCCATGTCCCAGGGCTGTCCCGCTTGCCACAACTCCCTTCATCTGAAGCTCTCGATTTGGGGCTGCAGACTCTGAGTGAAAGTACCTACCTTTCTGGCTTGATTGACCCATTCAAGTTGAGCAAAAGAGTCCCGTTGATGTAATTGTGTCTGCCTTTTCTGCTTGATTTCATTCCCTCTCAGTGATAATGGTCAACGTTACAATTATCCTCTGCAAAACATCTGCTTTTTGTTTCTCTAAAAGTGCACCGCAAAGTGCTGGCTTGAGGGGGACGTGTGTCCCCGAAGAGGGAGGTTATGAGCCTCACCGTAATGAAGAGAAAGGATCTTTGGTATTTCAGATCCAACTGTAGGAGAGTGAGGGCTGGTGACATTTCTCTTGATAGGAAAGGAGGAAGAGCTGCTGAAAGCTTTCAGAGGGTGACTTCATATTTTAAATGCCAGATAAGGCTCCTGTCCTTCCAAGCGTAATCCTGAGCACTAAGGATGGAGTGGAAAGAGGACACCATCGTGACATCGCCAAGGGTAGTTCTGGGCACTGCTACAAGTGGGGAAGAATTTTCTAAAAAGGAGAAAGAAAGAGGAGCACGTCTGAAGGTCTCCATGGTCACTTTTTTAAAAAAAAAAGATTTGTTTTTATTTGCAAGGCAGAGTTACCAAGAGAGAAGGAGAGACAGGGATAGAGGGTCCATCACTGTTTCAAGACAAGTTATTGCAGTTTTCGTTTAGATTATAGATGAGTTGGGAGTAACTGAAGTTGCTATTTTTAGCTTTAAAAATAATGCTGATCTAAAAATAATTAGCCCAACTCCTATATAAATGTTGTGCCTATGAAAATCTAATATGTATGCATAATAGCAGAAAAAAATATTTTAAAGTCAATTGACTGCGAAGAGCTCAGGGTGAGCATTAGGCACAGCTGCTTGAGACACTGCCTGGGCTGTGTCCATCCCCAGCCCCACACCTGAGAGCCTCGGTTTCCGTCCCAATGCCATGTCTCCGTGTGTGTGTGCACGCGTGTGTGTGTTCATCTGTGTGTGTGTATGTGAGATTTATTTTTACTTGAAAGGCAGAGTTACAGAGAGGAGAGACAGAACTTCTGTCAGCTGGTTTACTCTGCAAGTGACTGCAATGGCTGGAACTGAGCCAGGCTGAAGGCAGGAACCAGGAGCTTCTTCAGGGTCTCCCACATGAGTGCAAGGACCCAAGGACTTGGGCTGTCCTTTGCTGCTTTCCCAGGCCACAAGCAGGGAGCTGGATGGGAAGTGGAGCAGCTGGGATGTGGATCAGCACCTGCAAAGCTGGCATCTGATTAGCTTGATATGCCACTGTGCCAGCCCTAACCTTAATCTTCTGATACCCTTTGGCTTTTCTCTCTCCAGTGGCTCCCATAGTGGCACACAGAAGGCATTGTCACTTGGAAAGTGGCAAGAGTTTTAAGAGTTGTATGCCAGGAGCCTAGGTGATGATCTCCATAATGCAGTAAGAATTAATCGCCAGACATCAGCCTCCTTGCTGCACTTTCCGGACTCGCCCCGACTGTATTTAATATTCTGTTCCTGAAGAAACTGCTTTTCAATGCCTACTCTTTAAAAAAAAAAACATTTATTTATTTTTATCGGAAAGTCAGATATACACAGAGGAGGAGAGACAGAGAGGAAGATCTTCTACCCACTGACTCACTCCCCAAGTGGCTGCAATGGCCAGAGCTCAGCTGATATGAAGTCAGGAGCCTGGAGCTTATTCAGGGTCTCCCATGCGGGTACAGGGTCCCAAGGCTTTGGGCCGTCCTCGACTGCTTTCCCAGGCCACAAGCAGGGAGCTAGATAAAAAGTGGAGCTGCCGGGATTAGAACCAGTACCCATATGGGATCGTGGCACATTTAAGGTGAAGACTTAAGCTGCTAGGTTACTATGCCGGGCCCCAGTGCCTATTCTTAATGGAAACAATGTTTTATGATGCTTTAGACACAGCTTTCCCAAACTGCTGCTCTTGCTCTGCAGGATCTATCGGACAAGTTATAAACCACTTGGAGAACTTCAGAAGGATGGAGTGAGCCTAGATCCTGGCTTCCTAACCATTTGCATGATCTTACGTGTGGCCTTGCCTCTTTGTAGGGGGGAAATCAGACAACTACGGTGATCGTGCTATCCTCGATGCGGGATTTCAACCTATCCCAGGAGACCTGCCAGCTGGCCATCAGAGATGTGGGAGGCCTCGAGGTGTTAATAAACTTACTGGACACAGATGAAATCAAGTGTAAGGTGAGTGGTTGTGTTACTGTTTTGGGGAATAGGGATCTTAAGTTTTATTGTAAGTTCTTGATCCCCTGGAGGTAAGAATTAGAAGCAGAGGCCTAAATACAGTGCACAAGGGAGAGTAGGTTTTATCAAAAGTGAGAGAGTGGATGTAAGACTGAGCCGTGAGCCTGTGCCTCGCCACGTAGACAGATCCCTGTCGCAAGTGGGACAGAATTGGAGGTGGTCATTTGGAGACCAGAAAAGGACCCCAAAGCAAGGGCCAGATTTCCAGAAGTTACAAAGGAAGTCACTTTTGTGTGGTGGGGGTGGTGCCCTAATTAAATGTAAATGAGATGGAGTCTGGCTGGGACCTAGCGGGGTATGGAGCTTTCTCGAGGTTCAATGCTGTCACCACACAGAACCTAACTTCCACGTGGCTACATGGCACCTTCTCCTTCCTGGCGTGAGACAAGCAGGTGCATCCTGGGAAGTGTGCTGGCTTGACAGGAAAGGGGTAGAAGTACAATGCAAGGCTCTCCAAAGTTGTGAGAAAAGTCTTCCAGCTCAGCTCTTCCTGTCTAGCTTGCCACATGTACCCTCCCACTGTCCTACATCTACAGAGGCTGTGGGGTCTCCCTCCCATGGTGTGGAGGTTCTCAGCTTGAGAGGTCTGTGCTTCCTAGCTGCCTGTGTCTTCCCCGCTCTCTGCCTATGGCTGAAGGTGCTGCTGCTTCTGACTGCCACTCACTCCCCTGGCTTCTCTTCTCTGCCCTTTTCCAGCAGTTTCTAGGTCTTCCTGCAGGGGAAGCGTTGCTTCGCATAAATGAGGGAAAACATGGAGGATGTGTGTAACCCTTCAGGATGGAAACTATTTCTTACAGGACTTAATTGGGGAAGGCTTTTAGGTAGACTCGGAATTTTTGAACACATAGCACCGGTTATACACTAAATGTCCATTCATATGTAACTTCCCCCCCCCCCACATAGATTGGCTCATTAAAAATCCTGAAGGAAATCAGTCATAATCCTCAAATCAGACGTAATATCGTTGACCTTGGGGGCTTACCAGTTATGGTTAATATCCTCGATTCTCCGCACAAGATTCTAAGATGTCTGGCAGCTGAGACCATTGCGAACATTGCCAAGTTCAGGCGAGCCCGGCGGGTGGTGAGACAGCATGAAGGCATCACCAAGCTGGTGAGTGCACAGGTGTTGGCACCCGTCCCCTACCTTGGCCCGCCCCACTAGACCTCTTTGGTATCACAGCTTGAGAATGTATTTATATATATATATATTTAAATTAATTTTATTGCATTATGTGACACAGTGTTATGGGCACTGGGATTCCCCCTACCCCTCCCCAAACCCTCTCCCCATGGTGGATTTCTCCACCTTTTTGTATTACCACAGTTCAAATTCAGTTGAGATTCTTTCATTGGAAGTATTTACCAAGCATAAAGTCCAGTGTCTTATTATCCTAGTGAGTTCAATGATTTCTTGGTGAGGCCATCTCTGGTCTGAAGGTAAAGCCAGCAAAGTATCATCCCAATCAATTAAAAGCCCCAACATAACATCAACAACAATTTACAACATTATGGCATTAATTGACATGGTATTGATTAACCAATATGTTAATAGGAAAATGCAGGTTCTCAACTACATCCTGTGACTTCTTCATAGACATTTCAATTTTGGTTTATATTCAACCGGGTTCTATACACCTCAAAATGGCTATAGATTACTATTCAGCTGTCTCGTGTCTATTTTCATTTTAGTATTTAGCTGTTTATAGTGTTGAAGCATGATTTTGCTGAACTTGGTTGTTTATATTTTTATATATTTCTACTAAGAAGCAGCCCCGAAGCATGTCCAACATCATCTCTGAGAAACAGTGTCACTAATGGCATGAGTTTGTTGTGCAGACTTGGGAAGGCGTGGTGAGACCTGTGCCAGGAGAAGCAGTCTGTAGCCCCTGACCTCTGAGAGGGAGACCTTGTGGAGAGGAATGCCCTGAGAAGTCAGGGCTATGGGTACAGAGTTGTAGTATTGTTGACTGGGAAACAGAACCTCAGGGAGCCCAGGTGCTGACCCACCGTAACCAGTGGGAGAATTGCTATTGTTCCATAATTGGCATCTAGAGTCAGGTGTCACCACTGTGCTTTTCAAGTGTATGAGCATGCTCAAGTATCTTTGTGGGAAAAATGGAATTCGAAGATAAGAAGCACCTGGGCCCTGTGTGATGGCTCCATGGCTAGATCCTTACCTTGAAAGCACTGGGAATCCCATATGGGTGGCAATTCGTGTCCCCAGCTGCCCCACTTCCCATCCAGCCCCTGCTTGTGACCCGGGAAAGCAGCAGAGGACAGCCCAAAGCCTTGGGACCCTGTACCTACAGGGGAGACCCGGAAGAAGTTCCTGGCTTCTGCCTTCAGCCTGGCTCAATGAATGAACCAGTGGATGAAAGATCTTTTTCACATAAATCTGATCTACCTTTCCAATAAAAAAAAAAAAAGATAATGGGCTTTTGTGTGAACTTTTGGGAGAGCATCTTTAGAAGAATGAAAAGCACAATGTTTGATTTTGCACAAAATTCAGAACAGGGTGAAAAACCATTGGCATCTGTGAACCCCCGTTTTGAAAGGCCTTCCTAGCAGTATTGACCCCAAACATGCAGAAAAGGAAACAACATTTTATGTTGTGGCTTTTTCTGAGATGGCTGCCGATTTTCTTTTCTCTGTTCGCACATTTGCCAGTCTGTCTTCTGTGTGTACTGAGAAAAAAATAATGATTTCTTTCACTGACTGCCTCCCCACAGGGAAAAAAAAATAGCATTCTGCTCCCCACCCTTGCCATGTCAGGGAGAAGTGTTAAGAAAGCGAATGCCCTCAAGAAATGTGTTTTCATCTTCCTTTGCTGTCCCCATTTCCTTCTGTCTCCTTCTGCATGTGGATTCCTCAACACAAGGAACATATCTTTAAGCTGTTTTTTTTTTAAACTATTCATTTATTTTTATTGTAAAGTCGGGTTTAAAGAGAGAAAAGACAAGAAGAGCTTCCGTCTGCTCTTTCACTTTCCAGGTGGCTGCAATGACCAGAGCTAAGCTGATCTGGAGCCTGGAGCCAGGAGCCAGGAGCTTCTTCCAGGTTTCCCATACAGGTGCAGGGTCCCAAGGATTTGGGCTTTCCCAGGCCACAAGCTGGATGGAAAGTAGAGCAGCTGGGATATGAACTGGCGCCCATATGGGATCCCAGCACGTACAAGATGAGAAGGCGAGGACTTTAGCCACTAGGCTACTGCACCACCCGCCTTGCCCCACCATTTTTTTTTTTTACTTTGTTTCACACACACACACACACACACACACACACACACACACACACACACACACGTGCACACAATCACCTTGCTTTCACGGCTTCATTCTTGAATGCCCAGGATCTAAGAACTTAATCTGAGTTTCCCATATCATTGACCACCAGATTGGCTGTCAGCAGCTGCCTCTCAGGGTGTGTACTGGAAGAAAAGTGTAACAGGGCATCCCAACCTGCATCTTAACCATTGCATCAAATCCTACCCCAAGGGACATGTCTTATTCCGTAGCAGTTGGTCCAGTACCTTGTTTATATGAAGGAGTACTAACTGCCTATTGGATTGACATGGATTTTAATATGAATGTGTATACTGACAGGTATATTAAGAAATTTACTAAAAGAAACTACGCTTTTACTTTTCATCTGTAGAACATGATAAAATGTAAGTTTGCTTCAAAAATAAGACAATTTTGTCTGGAAAGAAAGATGCAAAGGATGGTTAGTTGTATATCAATAGAAAAGTACAGCATCTAGCTCATCTGTGTCATTGTTACACAATTTCTCCACTTTTCAGACAATCTTTATATGTTAGGAGAAATACACAATTGTTTCTAGTATCATCATTAGTCACGTTACAGAAAACAGTCATGTGGTAGAAGTGATTGCCTCCTGGAAATCTACCCATTACATTACCACAATGAGCCATGTCATATGAAACTGGAATACGTCTTTATGGGAATCTCCTGCATCTTGTATCCTCAAATGAGTGGATCTTCAGAAAGTTCCCGGAGGAGACACACGGAAACCATGTGTCACCTGATGGCATATCTTGCTCAATATGGATAATCTGAGGGACATGCTGCAGTGTAATCAGCCTGCTGTCAACCAAAGTGTTAAGGAATGACAGAGAGGCTGTTCCAAGGTGAGCCAGAAGGCTAGAACTCAGTGACAGCTAGATGCACCATGTGATTCTGACTGGGTCCTTTTGTTACCGAAACTGCTAGTGCAGTTAGTAAAGTTTGATCACATCAGGCAGAACCAAGTCCCAGGCGAGTGTTCTGATTTTGATGTTTGTAGATTTGTTTTATTATCACATAGGAGAATGTCCATTTTAAAGTCAGAATTAGGCACAAATGAATTCAGAAGGGATGGAGTATCATATGCTACTTATTCTCACACGGTTCATAAAATTTTTTTGAATTACTCTTACAAGCTTTCTGTAATTTTGAAAGTATTTCAAAAAACAGACTCTTCCATTATTCACTTAACAAAAAATGTATGGAGAGTTTATGCATTTAATGAAATGAAAGGCATGAATCTCAAAATTTTTGCATGCAAATAAATGTCTCAAGTTCCATTGTCAACAAATTTTTTGGAAGCAGCCTCATATTTACACAATCATTCTTACCTAACCAAGCTGATAACACAAATGTTGATAGAATTTTATTTTTTTAAGATTTTATTTTAATTTGAAGAGCAGAATCGCTTAGAGAGTGAGTGGCAGAGAGTTCTTCCATCAACTGGTTCACTGCCCAGATGGCTTTTTTTCTGAACAATGAGCTAGGAGCCAGGAGTGTCTTCTTCTGAGTGTCCCACACAGATGTAGGGACCTGAGGAGCTTGAGCCAGCCTCTTCTGCTTTCGCATGCCACAAGCAGAGAGCTGGATTGAAGTGGAGTAGCCAAAACATGAAATGTTGCCCATGTGGAATGATGGCACTGGCCCCAACTTTTAATATGATTTTAAATGATGGCTAACACAGAAATAGAAAAGACCAGTATAACAACAGACTTAGAGTTGTGGTGCTGAAAACAAATCTGCCAGGGATCATGCTCTAGTTTGAATAAAATTAGATTCCTGGACTCAGACAGCTCTTTAAATCCCAAATTCATAAGTTAATGGTACTTAAGAAATAGACATTTAATCCAATTAACTTGTCTAAGAGGCTGAAGCTACAGGAGGGCCTTAGGTCACTGCAGGTGTGCCTCAGGAGATGGCTTCTACAGAAGGGTTAGTTTAAAAGCCTGCGTTTGATGGCGCAAGCCTCGCCTTGCACTCCCATATGGGCTTCTAATCTTCCCTTCCAGCTCCCTGCTTGTGGCCTATCCCAAAGCTTTGTGCACCCGCATGGGAGACCTCCTGGCTTCAGATTGGCATAGTATCGTGAATCATGGGACGGAAGATCTTCCTCTCTGTATATCCACCTTTCCAATGGCCTGCGTTTGATCCAAGCACTCTCTTCCTGCCTCTGTCCTGCCGCGTGATCCTCCATGCATCCTCTAAGGGTGCCATGGTCCAGCCTCACCAGATTCCTGAGAGAGTGGGGCCGGCCCCGTCTTGGAGTGTGAACCTCCTTCCACCCAGAGTTGCTTGTTCTTAGGTATCTCACTGTAGAGCTGCAGAACTAATCCAGATAACGATTGGACATCTGGTCTTCTTTTGCGAGACACGGATGAGCCAAAGGCAGGGGTCCCCAACTAACCTGTGAAATGAAAGGGAACACTCAGCACTGAGGTACCCAGGTGGCTGCTTGTGTCCTCTTAGAGCAAGGGCGCTGAGGTCAGCGTCAGAGCAAGGCAGAGGGCGCTGGGCAGGTGGGCCTGACTGCAGAGCCAGAGGGCAGCATCTAGAGAGAAGCCTGGCAGAGAGTGCGGGCAGGCAGACAGGCAGGCAAGTCCTGCAGGATCCAGTGGGAGTGTACACGCCCTGTGCTCCTCTCACCGACAGCATTCTTGGCATTCCAACGGGAAACATGCCAGGCATTTTCTGAGTGGCACTGCGTGTCTGTGTGTGTGCCAGGTACGGGACTGGATGACAGGAATAGGAATCAGTGTGTTCTGACCACAGTGAGATCTCGCTCTCCTGCTGGTGGAGTGTGGAATGAAACTCTGAGTGGTGAATTTCAGACATTGCGTTGATGCCAGTACTGGGAACGGGAGAGGAACACACAAGAGAGGATATCTAATGGTATCTAATGTGGAGGCTCCTGGGGGAGGCTGGGGAGATGAGGCATTGCCTGTAGAGTTTGGGAAGCTGAAGAGGTGTTTGCTAGGTGAGAAAAAGCATTGGAAGAAGATGAAGCTGCATCTGTACACACCTAGAATTGGGAGACAACTCTGAGTGTTTTGTGTGGCTGGACCCAAGGGAGAGGAGGGTGGTGGCTCTGGTGCTCACAGGCCCCTGTACTGTGAGTCCAAGGGAGCTGAGTATATAAAAACAAGGATAGAGCTTTAGTAGTAAAGTGCTTTAATTGGCCTGCCCTGCGCTCAATCCCCTGGCCTTAGTCTTGCTTTCCCGTGTTGCTGTTCCTCCTACCTTGAGTCCCTGGAAGCCAGCGACTCTGTCTCTGTCTCCCTCTGGGCCATAATGCCTGTGAGTGTCCACCTAACGTAAGCCAATCCCACCGGACTTTTCTCCCAGGAACTTGGTTTTGAGGGTCAAGAGACTCTATTTAGCATGGGTTGCTCCTTTCTGTAGATGGCTCTGATGGCCACCACTGTGTCTATGGGCCATATCCATGGAATGTGACCTGCAGAACGAACAGAGTGGACACGCAAAGATGATAGCTGGAAAAGACAGTGAGGTGTCCCTCCTGCCTCGACTCCCGGTGACCGACAGCTTCCTCTGGGGGTGCTCGTCACAGCTCTGGCCAGCTGGCTTCACTTTCCTCAAGGGGTAAACGAACAAACTGTTGTATCTTTAGAGTGAGTTGTTCTTCCCCAAAAGATACTCAGGGACTTCAGTTATCACAAGAGAACAAGGGAGGTTGGCAGCTGTGCTCTGTGGTTTGACGGGGAAGGCTGCGTCCTCCAAAGAGCTGCAGTGACTTTAAGAGTAGATGGGCCACTCTGTCATCTTTACAAAGTTCTAAAGGTTTTGGGGAGTCTGGTTTTCTGAGATAGTCAGGATAAGGATGTGGTTTACAAATGTCATCAGTATAAATATCAGTGCTGTATTAAGAAAATGTGGGTATGGTCTAGGTGAGAAGGCAATGGAGAAGAGAAGGCATGTTGAAGGGTTTTATTTATTTCTTTGTTTCTCTTGGCTGCTAGACAGTGCAGAGAACCAAGTTATTCAAAGGACTAGCATGTGATACATTTTATAAACATGATTTATTTGTTTGTCCATTTGAAAGGCAGAGTTATAGGGAGGTAGGAAGAGAGACAAAGATGTCCCATCTGCTGGATGGGAAGCGGAGCATCTGAGACTTGAACCAGCACTCATATAGGATGCCCATGTGTTAACCTGCTGTGCTGCGATGCCAGTTTGTGATGGGAGTGAGCTTACTAGCAAACTAGAAGCTATGAAGGATGTGTGTGCTTCTGTTTCTGAGATGCGCATGTGTGTTGGTTTCTGTGTTGTAGGTTGCTCTCCTGGACTGTGCTCAGACTGCAGCAGAGCCTCCTCAGTCCAGTCTGTACGAGACCCGAGAGGTGGAAGTGGCTCGTTGCGGGGCGCTGGCACTGTGGAGCTGCAGTAAGAGCTATGCCAACAAAGAAGCCATTCGCAAAGCCGGGGGCATTCCCTTGTTGGCCCAGCTCCTGAAGACGTCACATGAAAACATGCTCATTCCAGTGGTGGGAACATTGCAGGAATGTGCATCAGAGGTATTCTTGCCACTTGTGCGTCCCTTGCTGTTCCCTCGTCAAAAAGGGATGCTTACGTTTCATGGTGACTGCTAATGATTTTGTCTGCAAGAAGTCAGCATTTGATTAGAAAGAGGATCAATGTGGTAGTACCTGTGTGATGTAGTCTTTTGAATGTGGACTAATTCTGTTATATAGTATGTTTAGCTTGGATTGTGGTGTGTCTGTTTACCAGGAAGGTTTACTCAGCCTAATTCTTAACATAGTTAAAGAGATACCTACCTTCATGTGTTATCCTGAATGTTTAAGTTCATGTACCTAGGAACACTACCGAGCAGCCATCAAAGCTGAAAGGATCATTGAGAATCTAGTGAAGAACCTGAACAGTGAGAACGAGCAACTGCAGGAGCACTGCGCCATGGCCATCTACCAGGTGGGGTAATCCTCCCGGCAGTCACTGTGCTTTTCCTCCTGGTGTTCAAGGCGATGTTTGTGAACACGATTCCCATTCCCTGGAGAAGCGCTCCAGGGTCTACACCTGCTTCAAGTACCCAGGGGGATTTGCATGCACTCCTGGTCTGCCAGGCACTGCTGTGCAATAAAGGCAGGTGCTGTCCTTGTATGTGTTAGAGAGAAGCTTGCTTCAGCGCAGTTCACCATTTACGTTCTCAGGCATGTATGCTCCTCTGACCCCTGAAAGCACTGACTTAGGGTGAACATTGCTAACAAGTACAAGGCACCCCTATACTGCTTTCCGTAATCCTGTCCTGACACTGTGATCTTGGGAAACATTATCTGCTGCAGAAAAGATGGACGGCTGTGTGTCTTGCAGTACTGCTTATATTTTTAGTAGTTTACTTATTGTAATCTTCACATTTTTGTGTGGATTATAAATTTCATAGTCTGCCAGAAAAATAGATTAACTATAATAGAGAAAGATGGCCTTGGCTGACTGTGTCTGAGTTGTGGTGGTCATGCCGTCTTAGAGCAAATGAGAGTAGATTTCTAAGAAGAAAGCCGTGAGATCTTGGAAACGAGAGAATGTGCTGATAGAGTCCTGAGACCAGACTTTGGAACAGCAGCTCAGGGGTTTCAGGGGTTTCTGTCCCTTTCTGGGAGCACCTGGGCTTGAGTCTGGGCTCTGCTCCAGCTTCCAGCTTCCTACCAGTGGGCACCCTGGATGTTAGCGAGTGTTAGGTCCAATGCTTGGCTTCCTGTTGCTCGCACAGAGACCTGGAGTGGGTTCTGGGGCTCCTGGCTTTAGAATTGTTCCAGCCCTGGTTGTTGGGAGGCTTTTGAGGAGTAAATCAGCAGGTAGAAGGTCTCTGTCTCTTTTCCTTTCAAATAAATAAGAAATAAATTTAAAAATTAGAAGAGAGAAAGAGAGAGATCCCTAGGGCAGGTTTGTACCAGTAGGGACTGTCACAGTCCACTTGTACTTCCATCAGTGTGGACTTCCCTAGAAGACACTGCTTTCCTTGTAGTCTGAAGTTTGGCGGCATGAGGTCAAGGGCACTGCTCCCAAGGCCTCTCCCCTTGGTGGAAAATCACACATCTCCTTGAACTCCTGTGGTGCTCTCTTTGTCCACACCTTTGTCCTCATCATTTGACCTTATAAAAAGAGAAGTCCTGTTGAATCAGGCCCCACGCCAATGACCTCGTCCTCGGCAATTGCCTCTTTAAACTCTCTGTCTCCAAATATAGTTGAATTATGAGGTACTATGAATTAGAATTCAGTGTATGAATTTTGAGACCACACTAGAATATATAGGCATGACTTGTGTAGGAGAAGAGTCAGTTAGGAATACCAATTAATTAACATTTTAAATTAATTTATTTGAGAGGCTCAGAGAGACAGAGAACAGAAAGGTCTCCTTTTGACTGGTTCACTCCTTAAATGCCTGCAACAGCTGGGAGTTAGGAAATCAATCCAGGTTTCTCATGTAGATGACAGAAGCCCAACACCTTGAGCCATCATCTGGTACCTTCTCATGTGTCTACCAGCAGCAATATGGAACCAAGGATGAACCTGGAACTCACACCTAGGCATTCTGGAGTGGCATTGCAAGCACACATCTTAACCACTAGGCCAATGCCTATCTCTGGTTCAGTTTGTTAAAGTTACCACTGGGGAAAAATTTCACAGGTAGAAGATGAGCATGACAGGGGCCTCTGCTGTACCTTGTGATGAGGATCTTCTCGAGTGGCCCTTGTAGGGGAATCAGGCCATATTTGCAAGCCACAGCCCCAGAGAAAAGCCGTATGCTTACGGGAAAAGCAGCATCTGCACTAGACTCCCCCTCTGTTGGTGCTGGAATCCCACAACAACAATCAGTTAGAAACATATGTGTAGTAAATATTTACTTCCAGGATGACACAACAATGAATAAACATATTTGAATAAAATGTCACATACTATTCCTGTAACCTATTGCTTCGGGCATAGAAATTCCATTGCAGGAACTCTTCAGTGTACCAACCCTCTGTGTCTCATCTGTCTTCTCTGCTGTGGTTTCCCCAGCCCAAGCTCTGGGCTGCATCATTGCAGAAACCCTCTGTCCACTCGTGGGAGTCCCAGGCTACTTACTCACCTGTAACTGTCTGATTGGAGGCTCAGGCTGCTCAGAACTGGCTGGGCAGAATCACCAAGTGTGCCAGACGCTGTTGCTCACCCTTACCCAGCTGCTAGTGTCGAGGAGAAATGGATTTTACCCAAAGGGGCGCTCAGAAAATGATACTCTCAAAAAGAACTTTGATAGCTGTTCAAGTGGAGGCCGCTCGCACCTCCATCGCAAATCTCAGTGTGTTGCTCAATGGCCACCTCTCGTCCGACCTTCTCTCTAGTGTGCTGAGGACGAAGACACCCGTGAACTGGTTCGACTGCATGGAGGACTGAAGCCTCTGGCCAGCCTGCTCAGCAAGACTGACAACAAGGAACGGCTGGCTGCTGTCACGGGGGCAATATGGAAGTGCTCCATCAGCAAGGAAAATGTGGCCAAGTAAGAGAAGGCACTTGACAGGCTGTCGTTAATACCTGTCCCCTGGGTTACATTTTTAGTTTAATGCTGCTGAGATAAAGGGGCTACACCTTCATGCTTCTCCCTGGAAGCACCCTGACCCCATCATGCTAGGGAAAGGATTTTCCAGGCCTTGCATATGGCAGCCACGGATAGGAGAAGCAGCCTTGATATTTCCGCTGAGTCCACCCCAAGTTGAGGTGAATTTCCCAGGGAATCTTCTGAGGTGCACATGGTTCCATTCAGTCCCCTTTTCCAAAGATAAACAGTGATTGACAACTAGCCTAACTTTGCGGGGCCACTTTCTGGTGAGGTCTAAGGAAGTTACCGGAAGGAGTTATCATACAAAGGAATGTGTTTGCAGCAACGGTGGCCCCAGGGAGCTTCTGGAGCCGGTTAGGACAGCTGTCTTTCATGTTAGGGAGTAAGGGCTGTGTGAGAGGGTAAGTGCTCATCACCACACGTGCAGACCTGGTGCAGATCTTGCCCCAACCTAACTACCATGCTGTGGTTAGAAGGCTTGAGTAAGCCCTCCTGGGCTGGACAGCTTAGCACAGCGTGGCCTCTGGATGCTCCTTGACCCTTCTTTGCAGGCATCACACTCGCAGAAAGGTCTGGACTGGTTCAGAGTGGCTGGGGATTGCATCCTTCCCCAGAATGTGGCTAAAAACCTGAAATAGCCCACTGTGGAGAACAAAAGGGCCTTGGAGTCTTGCAACAGCAATGAGTCACAACAACCTCTTTGGTACATTCGGGACATTCAGCTGGAGACACGATCAGTTGCTTTCAAGGAACAACTACTTTCAAATAGTTTTCATTGAATTGTTTTCAATGAAATTGAAATTAATTTGAAATTGAAACAAAATTATTTTTAGAGTTACCTTTATTTTAATCTTTTAATGTCTAGCTCTTTGTAAAAAGTGTTTGTGTGGATCATACTTTCATCTGAGTGTTTTAGCTTTCACATCCTCCCTCAAGCTCACACTGAAGAGACAGATGGACAATAGTGATGTGCAAGCGATTGCCAACCGTGGGAGGCCTTTTCAACCCAAGTAGGCTCGATGAAGTCACGCTTAGTGTGCCTAAAAGCAACACTACATAAAGTATAATTTATTCCCATTCAACCTGTAGAGTGTTTTGTTGATGTGAAATAGTCTCTGAAGGGCAAACCTCAGCAGAAAGGAAGTGCAGAGCTCAGAGGTGGGTGAAGCCATGGCTATGCAGTGAGACCAGGGGCACAGGCCTGCAGCAGGTGGCTGGGCATGGGCGCCAAGCTTCAAATCAGCTACCTCATTATGCGGATGAATTACTGCGTTCTTCATAGAGATGTATGGGGTGAATGAACATATTGTCGAAGTTCAACGACTTTGATTACCTTGAATATTACCAGATGGCGTTGTACAGTAAATAATCTTCTGTCTGCCCTGATGAACTTAGGTTTCGGGAGTATAAAGCCATTGAGACTTTGGTGGGACTTCTGACGAACCAGCCTGAGGAAGTGCTTATCAACGTGGTGGGAGCCCTGGGGGAATGCTGCCAGGAGCACGAGAACCGCGTCATCGTCCGCAGGTGTGGTGGCATTCAGCCGCTGGTGAACCTCCTCGTTGGGATAAACCAGGCTCTTCTCGTGAATGTCACCAAAGCAGTTGGCGCCTGCGCAGTCGAGCCCGAGAGTATGGCGTAAGTAGAAACGGGGACCGGGGGATGGACGGGAGGAGGGCACTAGGTGAGAGCTGGGGGAGGTAGTGTCAGTCGTGAGAATGCATGCTGCTCCCAGATCATGAATTGTTTCAGGTGAGATGCGGGGCAGAGCTGGAAAATGTGGAAGGATTTACAGTGCCACGTATTGAGTTTCTCGTGGAAATCTGTAATACAATCAACAAAAAGAATTATTCTCTTTAAGGAGCTGGGGTCGTAGGTCATTCTTGATTATGTTTCTGTAGTATTCTTTTTTTCCAAAGATTTGTTTATTTTTATTGTAAAGTCAGATATATAGAGAAGAGGAGAGACAGAGGGGAAGATCTTTCGTCCAATGATTCACTCCCCAAGTGACAGCAATGGCCGGTGCTGCGTCGATCAGAAGCCAGGAACCAGGAATTTCCTCTAGGTCTCCCACATGGGTGCAGGGTCCCAAGGCTCTGGGCCGTTTTTGACTACTTCCCCAGGCCACAAGCAGGGAGCTGGATGGGAAATGGAGCTGCTGGGATTAGAACTGATGCCCATATGGGATCCCGGCGCGTTCAAGGCGAGGCCTTTAGCTGCTAGGCCACCATGCTGGGCCCTCTGTAGTATTCTTAATTCTTACCAATTCAGTAGCCAGATTTTCAGTATCAAAAAAAAAAAAAAAAAAAAAGGTGACCTGTGGAGGTAAAGAAAGGATTTTAATCTCTGATCTTGATAGCTAAGCACGTGATTATCTAATTAGGAAAAAAAGATTTAACCGTGGTACAGTTTTAGGACGATAGCAAAGAGGTCAGCACTGTGGTCCAGTGGTTTAAGCTGTCTTTTGTGATGATGTGATCAGTTAGAGTCCAGCTGGTCAGCGTCTGATCCAGCTGCCTGTTGATGTGTGTGGGAAAGCACCACAAGATGGCCTGAGTACTCCAGCTCCTCGATGGGGTACTGTGCTCGGCCTTTGTGGCCATTGTTTATTTATTTGGAAAGAGGAGTCAGAGACTGACAGAGACCTTCCACCCACTGGTTCACTCCGCAGATGCCCAGATCAGCTGGAGTGGGGCAGCTGAAGTCACAAGATAGGAACTCCCTTTTAGGCCTCCATGTCGGTGACAGGAACACGAACATCTGAACCATCACACGCTTTCCCAGGGTGTGCAGAGCTGGGACTCAAGCCCAGGTTCACTGGAAGGGGCTGCGGAGGTCCTAAGCCATCTCTTCGTGATCCCTGAGCCAACTGCTTGCCACTCTTGGTGACTGTTCACTTCTTAATACGTATATTGGATTTTATTCCTGTAGATCAGAGTTCATTCTTGCAAAATTTTTATCTTATTTTAACAAGGTCTCTGCAGTGCATTATGAGGTCATCCGGTGGGTGCCAGAAAAGCCTTTTTAACATTTTTGTATTACTCTCCATGCTGGGGCTTCAAACTCTTCTTGCTACAGCTCTTTCCAGGAAATCCTTATTTTGTGCCCTTTCAGTTGAATCATTTTGAGAAAAGGTCATGGAAGACAATCATACTCTTTTCTTACTTTGAGGCTTAAAGCTTCTTGTCTTTAAAACAACAAAATAGAAGTGGGAAAAAATGGTTGAACCTAGGTTGGGGAGCTAGGGAATAAAGGGGTAAATTTTAAGATAGTGGATGATGAGGTGGCAGTAGATATGTACACATCAGTAAATATACTAAGTGTGTTTTTAGAATTTTCTTATTAGAAGTTTGACTTAGGGCCAGAGGTGTGACAACTACAGGAAAGATCAAAAGTGGAAGAAAGATTGTATTATCCTAAAGAAGAAAATAGTGACAATTGGAATTTATGAAGCACTCCAGAAAATGTTATGAATTTTGAACTAGGCATAATGTGCTGCCAGCTAACACGAGCTCAATCTTTCTCCTCAGATGTCCTGGTCATTCGGTGCATAGTCAACTTCTTTGTTCTCTTTATGGGGCAGAGATGAGGGGCGGTAACTGGGCCTGGAAGAGGTGGGTGGGTTGGCAGTATGTCTCGTGAGGAAGAGTGGGCCCTAAGGACATGTCCTCTTGTGGTGTCTGTTGCTGTCTTCTACCCAAGGAGGTGGCTGAGACACTGTGGACAGAGGACGGCTAAGCAGAATGCTTGCCAGATTGTAGCACAGGGCAGTAGTCATCTTTTCAACGATTTGGAGGGAATCAGATTGACTGCCAGAGTGCTTAAAACAGAATGGAGATGGATTATTACAGTAAAGAGATTGGCAGATTTTTGTGGCATTTCTATTACAAAAGCCAACACATAAATTCAATTTTCCCACAGTGACAAGGCTGTTAAGATAGTATGTTCCCTCCTAATAGAAGAGCCTTAAGAATCATAGAATGGCTAACCAAAGACTTTATAATTTAAGCAGTTTTTAAAATCATGTTGTCAGAGCTCAGAAATAAACAGTAAAATGATTGAACTAAAAGCCTGGATGGACACCAAAATGATGTATTGAATGCAGATGAAAATACAGACTGGAATATGGTATGTAGCAAATTCAAAGGTCAAATGCAAAAGAAAAATATATGAAAATGCTGATGAAGAAATTGTTAAATATGGAACCCAAGGAGGTGCAACATACGTATAATTGGCGTTCACAAGTCAACTACAGGCTGGAAATGATGAAACTCGGTAACCAATGGACCATGAGTCTAAAGACAGAAGAAATATTCCCTGTGAAAGTCAGAAAGACACCCCAAAGAGTGGTATTGATACAGAGTGGCCAGCCACAATGCATGTCCTAAATAAACAGTTTAAATGGCAAAAATGAAGCAGAAATCTAAGTGCATCCCAGAAGAGGAAGCGGGCTACTGGGACACGTTGGCTGCAGACTTTACCAGTACTTCTTTTCGTGCCAGAAGATGTTAGGGAGAAAATTTGCCCTAGCATTTCACGCTCACCAAGCTGCCATTCATAAAGGGCAACAAAGGAATTAGTGACTTTTGAACTCACTAGATCTCCTTGGAAAACTTCTTGATCACAGAAATGAGCTATTCAAGACCCTAGTCAAAGAGAAATGTTTCAAAGCAACAAAATTGTGGTGAGAAACTACCAGCGCAAACCACTGAGTTCATTTAAATATGAGCCTGAGACCCATGGTGAAGGAATTATCATTAAGGAAATCAACTAGTAAAAACAAAACTGGCAAGAAAAAAGTCAGCACAGGACGGATATGCAAGTGTGTGGATTCTGTCCTCTTTCCTGTATATAGAAATCAGCAAATAGCAGACAAGGCATTATTTTTTTCTAAATGTGGTGTACGCACCCACTTGTCTGTCTTACCTATCCATAGTATGTGCAGGGATACAGAGAAATGCAGAAGTAATTACTGTTTCTGGATAGTACGATTTGAGGGCTTTTTGTTTTGTTTTTTACTGCTTTGTGCTTTTCTGGACAATGTATACGATAAAATATATGCCATCTAGGTGTATCATGGCAAGTGGCTGGAAAGGGAGGGGAAGGTAGAAAACCCAGTGTCATACTGTCAAGGTATATTTAACTGATTTATCTGAGAGTCCTCCTCTTTTTTTTTTTTATTGATTACATTGCATTATGCTACACAGTTTCATAGGCTCTGGGATTCCCCCAACCCCTCCCCGTGCCCTCCTCCCATGGTGGATTCCTCCACCTTGGTGCAGTATTACAGTTCAAATTCAGTCAAAATTCTTTCATTGCAAGCATACACCAAGCATAGAGTCCAGCCTCTTATTGTCCAGGTAAACTCAATAGTTTCCTGGGGAGACCATCTCTGGTCTGAAGGCAGAGCCGGCAAAATATCATCCCGATCATTTAAAAGCCACAACATGTCATCAACAACAATTTACAACATTATGGAATTGTTTAACATGGTATTGAATAACCAATATATTAAAAAAAAAGCAAGTTCTTAACAACATCCTGTGACTACTTCATTAACCATTCAATTTTAGTTTATATCCAACCCGCTTCTATACATCTTAAAATGGCTATAGGGTACTATTCAGCTGTCTTGTGTCTATTTTCATTTTAGTATTTAGCAGTTTATAGTGTTGAAGCATGATTTTGCTGAATTTGGCAGATTTTAGGATAGTCTAAACTGGCTTATAACTCTAACAAGGCATATGTCAACAGTTGAGGTGCAGAACAGTTTTAGGAGGGGTGTGCAGAGAAATCTTTAATACCTTAGTGAGGAGTAACTAATCTTTGTGTCCTACCTAGTAAGATATGTGTGAGTCCACGCTGACCGTTTCCTGTCTGGTTCTAAGCTTTCCTTGCTGTTCTGTCTATCTATTCTAATTTTTTGTTTGTTTGTTTTGGGGGGCCCTCCAGAGCCACCCTGATGGTCACTGCAAGAGAGGGTGGGGATCCAAAGTTGGAACTAAGTAAGGACCAGAGAAAGCTCCTCTCCCTAGTCCTGAAGGAAGCTTTCTGTTCTTCTGTTTCTGCGGACTGCTCAGGGCTCATGGCTGTTGTTCAATGACCTTGGATCCTGCGAGGAAGGATTTGGGCTTCTTCCATCCCATGTGGTAGATCCAAACGGGGGTGGATGACCTCAGAGTTCTTGGCCTCCGAAGGCACTCCAATTCCCCATGGTCTCCTTGGCAGTTGGGATGTAGTCCTTGATGAAGTTCCAGGAGTCTCCAGGGTTGGGATACAAGTCTCCTCCTGTCCACCTGCTCCACTCTGGGGTCCCCCCTGCTCTGTGCATATGACCTCCTGTTAAGAGGTTGTCAGGGTCGCTCTTGATTCCCCCTATATGTCTTTGTAGTTTTACTATTGTCTAATGCTGATTCGAGTCTGTTGTCTATAAGTTACCTGTTATGTTCCTGATAGGTTATACTTCACGTCTTCCTCACACATTCTAAGGAGATGGAAGATTTCTCTGCTCTCCCACCCCATTTCCGAGTAGCATAGGGTTTTAAAAGTATATTAGGTTTTACAATTCTTTGATGTAGATCATAAGCAGTCTGGAGAGTCCTCGTCTTTAAATAGCAGAATGTTAAGCTTGTAACTAT